TATTTTTGACGAGTTATTGTTAATATGCTTTCTATAGAAAATTGGTACTGGTTTTGTACCAAATTTATATCAAGTAATACACGGACCCGCCAAGTAGTACTCGATAAGGAATCACCTAAAGTTTTATTAATTATTAAATCACCATTAAATCATAATTAAATACGGGAAGCAGCAGTAACATAAAAGAGTAGCGAAAACGTTATAGGAAATATTGAAAATATAATTAAAATGATGGGCCAGTGCTAGATCATATAATAGGAAAACATGTAGTGACTTATGTACTTGGCCTCAATAATATGATATCAATACTTTTTGTTAGAGGAATTCACAGCAATCCTGTACTTGGCGTAGTTTTTTACACGTAAGTGTTTTTTGGGGGATAAGGAGTTGACTCGAGTAAAGAGTCTCGGCGCGCTGCGCACTGTACAGCTGGTTGCCTGTACTTGGCGCGAGACTCGACAGAGTCTCTTGAACTTTGCGGACTTCGTCCACCTCGCCAATAGCCTCTATTTGATCCGCCATATTTGAGCGACCTGTCACTTTAAACATGCCCCTGCCCACATCTACGAACAGGTCGCTGTTAGTCACAAGATGGCGCCTAATAGCGCGCTGTTAGAGACTTAAAAGCGGTTCTGAATAGGCTTTTTCGCTAATAGCGCGCTATTAGCTGTTAGTGACCTTAAGAGTGACCATAAAAGCGGTTCTGAATACGATCACCTATAAACTCACTAACAAATAATTTAAAAGCTCGCTATTAGCACTAAAAGCAAGTTCTAAATACGGGCCTTAATGTTTTCAGGAAATTTACACTTGTCCGTGGGAAATTAAATTTCGCAAGAGTTTGTAAGGTTTGGTGAACATTCCTATACCTCAAAAACATCAGCTAGGCAGAATTAGTATTCTTAAGATTATAATCTTAAAATGTCTATATGATATTTTTGCACTATCTTTCCGATACTTCAAACTAACATAATCTTCCATAACGTTACATTTATACATTGTTAGGAATCTTCATCACAACATAATGTTTATGGAACAATAGTATATTGTGCATTGAGAGCGAAAACGGGCGTTTCTGCTCCGCGTATAAAGTTGAGGTTCCCGAGGCGAAGCCGAGAGGTTCTATTATTCAATCAATGGGTATTCAATTTTCCAATCTTCCACGTTTCCCTATTCGAGAATTGCCCCTTTTCGCTCCTCCCGAGCGAAGCGAAAACGAGCGTTTTCGCTCCGCTGTTGAAGAAAATAATATTACTTTATACGATAAAAAAGATTTTTGTTTTAGGCATTGCGCCTGAGTTTGTCAGCTTTGAATCAAACGGCGACTGGACAAGTAGTGAATTTGCTCAGTAATGATGTGAATCGTTTTGATATGCTCCCATTACATTTGCATCAAATTTGGGTTATGCCAATTCAGGTAAAGCTTAATTTTTAGGACTAGCCACAAATAAAAATTGATTATTTTATGTTTTGTGCTGAGTGGGTTAGTCATCTTTTACTGGAATCTTACAGGTTGCTTTGATTGGTTACGTAATGTGGCAGTCTGTAGGAATCGCTACTCTTGTTGGTATAGGAAGTTTAACCATTTTGACTATTCCAATCCAAGGGTATCTGAGCAAGCTGAGCGCACAACTTAGAGCTATCATTGCTCGCAAAACGGACAAAAGAGTACATCTCATGAGTGAACTGATTGCAGGCATCCAGGCATGATTCATATTAACAAGAACAAGAAAGATCTTCTGACCTTTTATAAAAAGATCTAATAGTAATACACAGTTTATGATTACAGGTAGTGAAAATGTATGGCTGGGAAGAACCATTTGAAAAGATGGTATCGTGGACACGACGCACTGAGATCAAAATAATCAGATACTCTTCCTATCTTCGTGCCTTCTATTTAAGTATCATGGTTTACACTGAGAGATTGACACTTTTCCTCACCTTAATAGCATTCATTCTTATGGGCAATACTCTCACAGCTGATGTCACCTTCGTTCTTGCAACTTATTTCAACATTCTACAAATGACTATGGCCATCTTCTTTCCTCAAGCGATTATTACGGGTGGTGAAGCGCTCGTTTCTATCAAAAGATTAGAGGTTTACATTTTATTTATATATATATATATATATATATATATATATATATATATATATATATATATATATATATATATATATATATATATATATATATATATATATATATATATATATATATATATATATATATATATATATATATATATATATATATATATATATATATATATATATATATATATATATATATATATATATATATATATATATATATATATATATATATATATATATATATATATATATATATATATATATATATATATATATATATATATATAGTAATATTTAATATAATTTAATTACATTAATAACATTAATAACAATAATGTAATAACATTTTTTGTAAATTTTCGCTTTCTTACGATATTAACTTGTAGGAATTCCTTATGTTGGACGAGATCGTGCAAATCAATGATAATAAGGAATTACTTTTAAAGCAAAAGGACAATAATAAACAGCAGAAAGACATGCAAAATAAATGTACAATCGCAGAGAAGGAAATTACAAATCCGGTGACAGTAGAGCTATATCGTGTATCTGCAAATTGGATACCTAGCCAATTACCACCCACTCTACATGACATTTCCATCAAAGTCGAGGGCGGTCAACTTTGTGCCCTTATTGGACCTGTAGGCTCGGGAAAGTCTTCTCTCCTCAATGTTTTATTAAAGGAGCTTCCCATAGGTGCGGGTGACGTCTGGTTATGTCAGAACTCTAGTTCGAAGGAAGGTCAAAACAACCGCGGCTATCATTCAGATAATCCCAATCTGCGTATCTCCTATTGTAGTCAAGAACCCTGGCTATTCGGAGCAACCATCCGAAATAACATTCTATTTGGACAAGCATATGATAAGAAAAGATATCAAGAGGTGCTCTATCGCTAACATATAATATATTGTTTAAAAATTATTTACTGACTTAATTTTTATCAACTGGTAACATCAAATCCTGGTATTTCAGGTAACAAAAGTTTGTGCACTTCTACAGGATTTTAAACAGTTACCTCGTGGCGATATGAGCATTGTCGGTGAAAGAGGTGCTTCCTTATCAGGGGGACAGAGAGCTCGAGTGAATCTCGCTAGAGCCGTTTATAGGAGAGCTGATATCTATCTTTTTGACGATCCTCTCAGTGCAGTCGATGCTCGAGTTGGACAACACTTATTCAATGAGTGTATAATTAATTACCTTAAAGGAAAAACCCGAATTCTTGTAACTCATCAATTACAATATCTTAAACAGGCGGATACAGTAATCGTCCTCGATCGCGTAAGTAAATGTTTGCTGGCTTTCCCTTAAGACATTAATGATGTATTTGTATTTTTGATTTCATTATCTTTGATTTGCATAAAGTTATTGAAGATTAATCTTTGGACATTATCATATGAACTAGAAACTTTATTTATCGCAGTAGTATAAGTTTGGGGGTTCTGGACCAGGAGACCTGTAACCGACATATACCGACACTCCAGAACCTTCGAAGGTGGGTGTCCGTGCTAAGTTGCCGTCATGAGCTCTACGATTTCCGGAAGTGACGTCACCGAAACCCTCGATTCCAAGAATTTTCGCTCGATTCCGAGAATTTTGCGTCACATTCCGGGAATTTTGCGCTCGATTCCGGGAATTACGCAGATCGAGAACCTTCTAGAACATTCTAGAACATTCTGGAAGCTTCGACGGTTAGAGTTTCCTATAAAAGGAGGAGCTGAACGTACCTTCGTTAGTTTGCTGCAACAATTTTTATGAACTGCACAGGGGCTACGATTACAGCGTCTTTATACCAATTTCTTCACCCCACCACTGATCGGGTTGTATTCCACTATACGATCGTGCAGGATCAGGCAGAATGCCGATGTATCGGCAGGGAAATTGTCTTGCGCTTCGAATTCCAGACGAATATCGACGGGTCCGAGTTTGAGGGACCCGTTTTGTTTGGAGCAATCGATAACGATCAATGGAGCGTACTCGAGAAATTCATTCTTCTTAAGCAAAGGCTCGGGATCCTTGCCATAGTACGTAGCTTGAAAGTTTACATACATCCCGGCATCCCCTTTGAGCACAGTGCCGAAAAGCGGTTTCGGCGACTTTTGTGGCGAGGTTGATTCCAGGAAAAACGATACCCTTCCCATGCAGATTTCGGACGGCAGGCGACTCGACCTCGAACGTTATCTCGCAGTGGTCGTGCGTCATACTCCTCATCCCACTGAAAGGCTTCGAGAATCCCCCATCCCCCGATTCGTCAGCCTTCTCATCCCACTGAGAATCCCCCATCCCCCGATTCGTCAGCTTCCTC